CTTTTAGTTTTGTTGTTTCTTTCGTTGCTTTCCAAACTCTTCGGTTTTGGAGAGTTTTGGAAAGTTCGGAGACTTCGAAAAGTGGCTTTTAGTTTTGTTGTTTCTTTTGTTTCTTTCCAAACTCTTCGGTTTTGGAGAGTTTTGGAAAGTTCGGAGACTTCGAAAAGTGCCTTTTAGTTTTGTTCTCCCTTTTATTGCTTTCCAAACTCTTCGCTTTTGGAGAGTTTTGGAAAGTTCGGAAACTTCGAAAAGTGCCTTTTAGTTTTGTTGTTTCTCTTGTTTCTTTCCAAACTCTTCGCTTTTGGAAATCCTTCGCTTTTGGTCTCTAAAACTTTCAAGCCTTTGAAGCTTTTCACGGAAAATCAAAACAACAAAGAAAACAAAGAAAGGTTTGAGAAGCGAAAACCTCTCAAAACCTTTCAAGCCTTTGAAGCTTTTCACGGAAAATCAAAACAACAGAGAAAATAACGAAAGGTTTGAGAAGCCAAAACCTCAGTTTTGGAAAGTTCGGAGACTTCGAAAAGTGCCTTTTAGTTTTGTTGTTTCTTTCGTTTCATTAAAAACTCTTCGCTTTTGGAGAGTTTTGGAAAGTTTGGAAACTTCGAAAAGTGGGAAAATCAAAACAAGTTTCTTTTGTTTCTTTCCAAACTCTTCGCTTTTGGAGAGTTTTGGAAAGTTCGGAAACTTCGAAAAGTGCCTTTTAGTTTTGTTGTTTCTTTTGTTTCGTTCCGCGCTCTCCTGTCTTTGGAAGTGCCTAAATGTTTATTGAGTATTCAAAAGGAGTTATAGCCTTTTTTTTTGCATTGTCAAAGAGAATTTCGGTGAGGCGTTTTGGGTTGAAGCAATGTTGTTTTTCTCTCCAAAATAGATTTTATTCCTTTGTTGCTTTCCAAAGCTTTGTTTGTTTTGTCGTTTTTGTCGAATGGGGTCGAATTGTTTTGAAAATGTCCTTAAAGACGTCGCTATTTTTGAGGCTTGATGAGTCCAGCGCGGATCTGGTATTGGTCCAAAAGCCTCAACCACTTAAAGTTTATTTGTATTCAAGTTCGAATCAATTTGGACTTGAATCGAATTTGATTTCAAATCAGTTGCATTTCAAACTTCATTCAGATTCCAATCAACTTCAATTTGAATTCAATCCGAGTTCAACTCTGTTTGTATTGAGTTCCTCTCAAAGTTCAGCCATTCAAATTTGTTTCGGTTTCAATTCAAGTCCATTTAGCTGTAAATTCGTTTCAATTGAACTTCTAATCAATTCAAACCTGTATTCAATTCAAATTCAAATGAATTCAAGTCTAATTTTAACTTCAAATCAGCTTCAAGTCCAGTTTGAATAGAAAGCAACTGAAATTTAGTTCCAAACAAACTTCAATCAATTCAGTTTCATTCCAATTCAAGTTTGACTCAATCCTAATTTAAATATACTTCAAATTCAAAAAGACTGCCACTTAAGTTCAATTCATTTTAAAATCAATTCAGTTCAAATTCACTTCAATTCAATTTCAAATCAGTTCAAGTTCATTTCTGTTCAATTGCAAGTTCCTTCAAATTCAAAAACGATTCAATATAAGTTTAAATTAATATTCAATTCCTTTCAAGTCCATTCAAATTTAAATCCTATTCAAAATGGTAGTTCAACTAAAATTGAAATAAATTCAAAAGTTGTTCGATTTCACATTTAAAATCAATTTGAATTTAAATCCATTTAAATTTCAAACTTAATGCAAGTTAATTCCTCAATGAAATTTCAATTCCAATTCCAGTTTTGTTTCAACTGGGATCATTTTCAATAAAGCTTTGAAAAGTCTTCAATTTTATTTCAGTCAAAATTTAAATTGATTTTATTTTATTTTAATTGGAATTAAATAGTACTTGGAATTCAAAGTAATTGAAATTTGATTCGAATTGGAATTCAAGTTCAATTCGTCTTTTCCTGATATCGAAATTAGTTTCAACTGGAATTTCATTCCAGTTGAAGTTAAATTCCAATTAAAATTAATCTTAATTGAAATTTAATTTCAATTAAAATTTAATTTCAATTAAAATTTAATTTCAATTAAAATTAATTACTTTGAATCCAAATAACAGATGAATTTAATGGCTTTTATTCCCAAGTGCAGAACTTGAACTTAAAATGCTGAATTTGAATTTATTGAATTTGAATTTAATTCAATTTGAAGATGATTGATTTTAAATCAAACTGGACTTCAATTATGGTTGAATTCAAGTTTATTTGATTTGATTTAATTTAATTTAATTTAATTTAATTTAATTTAATTTAATTTAATTTAATTTAATTTAATTTAATTTAATTTAGTTTAAATTTACTTAAATTCAACATGCAAGAGAAGCAGCACCAACGTGCGTATTCGCAAAACAAAACAAATTAAATATTTGATTTCGAAAACAAAATAAAAGTAAATAAATTTGTGAAAAACAGCCAATTAAATAATTCACAAAATATAAATAAGTCGAATAATTAATTAATCAGTTAATTTAAATTTACTTAATTAGCTATGTAATTAAAATTTAATTAATTAATTATTTAATTCGAATTTAATTAATTAATTAATTAACTGATTAATTAATTAAATCGAAACAGAGTTGGAGTCAATGGTTGCCATTGCGCCAGATGGGGTTCCAGCTTCCTCGCTGCTAGCTAGCTGGCTAGCCAGAACTCTCGCTAGCTAGCTAGCTAGCTGGCTGCTTGGCTAGCTGGCTAGCTAGCTAGCTAGCTGGCTTGCTAGCTTGCTAGCCAGGTGCAGCTAGCGTTACATGCATAGCTGGCTAGCTAGCTAGCTAGCTGTGTAGCCTTGGCTAGCTGTAGCTAGCCACGCCAGGGCGCAGCTAGCTGCACGCAGCTGCAGCAAGGGGCAATAAAGGCCCCAAACCCTCAACTTCTAGAGAAATATAAAACCCTTTAAGATTATGTAAACCCTAAACCCCAGAAGCTGAGCTGTCTTGACGGACTGAGGGTTTGGGGGCCCCCCGAGGGCCCCCAGGGGCCCCCACGCAGCGGGGGGCCCCTCGGGTTTTCCTCGCTGCGCCATTTGTAGCTTCTTAGGGCGAATATAAATGGGAAAAAATTAAAATAATTAATTAAATAGAATTAAAATTATATTCTTTTACTTTGTCTGCAGCCACAAGTCCAAGTGTAGGGGGGTGGGGCCCCGAACACCCCGAGCAGCAGCAGCAGCAGAACAGCAACAGCAGCAGCGACTGCTGCTGATGCTGCTGCTGCTGTCTTCCTTTTTCCTTCTCCAGTTTAAGACTTTGTGTATTTTCTTTTAACTCCTTTTTTGGTTCTTCTGTGCACAAACAACAAGACACATGGCAGCAGCAGCAGCAGCAGCAGAAACAGCGGCAGCAAGCAGCAGCAGCAGCAGCTGGGCAGCTTGATTCGCTGTGGGGAGGCCCCTTCTTCGCCCGATATATACCAGATTCCTGGGCCCCGAGAGCTAAGGGTTTAGGGTTTAGGGTTTCAGGCCTAGGGTTTAGGGTTTAGAGATGGGGGCCCCCCGGTGACAGCCCAGTGACCTCCGACACAGCAGCAACAGCAGCAGCAGCAGCAGCAGCAGCGGGGCGCAACAACCAGACCCTCGAATTTGGTATCAAGAGTGGCCAACATACAATTACTGCTCCATCGGGTTTATTATTTATTATTTATTATTTATTATTATTATTAATAATTAATTAATTAATTAATTAATTGATTAATTTACTTTTTATTTATCCATTTATTATTTATGCGCCCGAGCCCCTTAACCCACAGATGACTGAACCCCCCACAGCAAACGAAACGGAGCAGCAGCAGCAGCAGCAGCAGCAGCAGCACACCACTAACAGCAGCAGCAGTCTTTCCGCAGCAGGGGGGCCCCCAGCAAATGCTGGGGGCCCCGAAGGGAATGAAAGGGGCCCCTCCCTAGACCCTCAGGGGCCCCCCGAGGCTCGACGGGGCCCCCCAGGGGGCCCCCAGGGGCCCCCCGGGGCCCCAGAGGGGCCCCCTAGTGCCCCTGAGGGGCCCCCCGGGGCCCCCGGGGGGGCCCCCCGCAGCCCTGGGGGCCCCTCCCCATGCGTAGGGGCCCCTCTAGTACCCCCCGAGGGTCCTGGGGCCCCTGCGGATGCCGGGGGGGGCCCCCCAAAGGGTACTGGGGGCCCCCGGGAGCCGCTGGAGGGGCCCCCCTTGGAGGTTTTTGCAGCAGAGGGGCCCCCCGAAGCAGCTAAGGCCAGCAGCAAGAAGCCCCCAGAGCATGGGGGGCCCCCTGAAGTCAGAGAGGGGCCCCTGGGCCTCTCCCTGGGGGCCCCCAGCGGCGCCGGGGGGCCCCCGGAGACCCCGGGGGGCCCCCCTGCTGCTGGGGGCCCCCCCAGTGCCCCTTCAGTTGGTTTTGACTCTTCTTTAAAAGACTCAGAGGTGCAAATAGAGGCAAAAGAAGGACTGGGGGCCCCCCCTTTAGAAGCAAACAGAGGGGGGCCCCCCCTCCCGCCAGGCCCGCAGCTGGGCCCCTCCAAAAGGGTACTGGAGGCCCACCAACAGCTGGAGGAGCCCAACAGGGGCCCCCCGGGGGGCCCCCCTGTACCTCAGGGCCCCTATGAGGTCCTAGGGGCCCCTGGGGACTCTGCAGCTGAGCAACAGGGGCCCCCAGGGGCCTCGGGGGCCCCTGGCGCAGCGGAGGGGCCCCCAAGAGACCCTGGAGTTGAGCGAGAGGGGCCCCCGGGGCCCCCAAAGGCCTCAGGGGCCCCTGAAATTGGGGCTAAGGGGCCTCCAGGGGGTTTGGGGGCCCCGGTGAGCCCCCCACTTGAGATAGAAGGGCCTCTAGGGCCCCCAGCAGCATTGGAAGGGCCTATAGGGGCCCCTGCTAGGGGTTTCCAGGGGCCCCTGGGGGCCCCAGGGGCTTTACAGGGGCCTTCGGGGGCCCCTGGGGATTCTCAGGGGCCCCCAGGGGCCCCTGGGGGATTGCAGGGGCCACAAGGGGCCTCTGAGGGTTCCGTGGGGCCCCAGGGGGCCCCTCAGGGGCCCCCAGAGGGTACAGGGGCTGGGGCTTCTTCGGAAAGAAGTCCTCAGGGGGCCCCTGTGGGCCTCGTGGGCAAACCGGACACAATGGGGCCCCCAGGGAGGGGATTGGGGGGCCCCCCTGAGGCTTCTGGAGCCCCAGGGCCCCAGGGGGCCCCCCAGGGGGCCCCCCCGAGGGGGCCCCTTGAGGACTCTTCAGGGGGGCCCCCAGCTGCCCTTGAAGAGGGTTTAAGTCCGCGGTTTGAGCCATCTTGGGGGGGCCCCCCAGTAGCCTCAGTTGTGGGGGGCCCCCTGGGGCCCCCAGCAGCAGAAAGCCTCACAAGGGCCCTGGGGGGCCCCCAGGGGCCTCCTGGGGGCCCCCCAAAACAATTTCAGATTGGTGGGGGCCCCCTGAATCAGGAAGACGGGAATGGGGGCCCCCAGCAGCTCTTTTGGAGGACAAATGAGCCTGAGGGCCTTCAGGCGGCCCCAGAAAAGGGCCCCCAGGGGCCCCAGGGGCCCCCAACTGAGGGGCCCCAGGGGCCCCCAACTGAGGGGCCCCAGGGGCCCCCAACTGAGGGGCCCCAGGGGGCCCCAACACAGTGGCCTCGGGGGCCCCAGGAGTCCCCAGCTCAGGAGCCCCAGGAGCCCCCAACCCAGGGGCCCCAGGGGCCCCAGGGGCCCCTCCTGGGGCCCCCAACTTACGGGACACAGGGGCCCCCAACTCAGGGGCCCCAGGGGCCCTTGCTGCAGGCATTTGAGGCCCTTTCGGTGGCTGGCGACGAAGTTGGGGGGCCCCCCAAGGGTTCAAATGACAGCGGCAGCAGCAGCAGCAGCAACAGCAGCAGCAGCAGCAGCAGCGGCTCGAGTGATGAGGAGGCGAGTTTGGGGGGCCCCCAGGGGCCCCCGGGGCCCCGGAGACCCAGAAGGCCCCACGGGCTTACGAGGCCCTCTTTCGTGCCTCGGCTGGGCCTGAGCCCGCAGCAGCAGCAGCAGCAGCAGCAGCAGCAGCAGCAGGAGAAGCAGCAGCAGCAGCAGGAGCAGCAGCCCGCTGTGGGAGTCAGGGAGTTTCTGTCTTCCATGTGGAACCGAATTCGATGGGGGCAGGGCGAGAAGCAGCAGCAGCAGCAGAAAGAACAGCAGCAACAGCAGCAGCAGCACGAAGAGCAGCAGCAGCAGCAGCAGCAGCAGCAGCAAGAAGAGCGACATCACCTAAGGCGCCCCAGGCGGGTAAACAGTGCCTTGGGACAGACACAGACGGAAGAAAATGAACAGCAACAGCAGCAACAGCAGCAACAGCAGCAGCAGCAGCAGCAGGAGCAGCAGCAGCAGGAGCAGGAACAGTGGCACCCGAGAATGCAGCAGCAGAAGGAGCAGCAGCAGCAGCAACATCAGGACCGGCAGCAGCACCAGCGAAATTTTGCACGAGAGCAGCTGCCCCAGACACAGGAGCAGCAGCAGCTGGAGGAACAGCAGCAGCAGCAGCAGCAGCAGCAGCAGGGCCGGAACCACGCACAAACGCGTCCTCAGCAACGGCAACCGCAGCAGCAGCAGCAGCAGCAGCAGCAGCAACCACACCACCTGCAGCAGCCACAACAGTTCCTGCAACCGCAGCAGCAGCTGCAGCCGCACCAGCTCCAGCAACCGCAGCAGCAGCAGCAGCAGCAGCAGCAGCAGCAGCAACCAGGTGTGGCTGATAGGCCCCACCGGGTTCCTGGTGTAAGGGCCCCTGGGGGCCCCTTTCCGAGGGCCCCCACCTTAGCCCGGCGGCGCGTTTTGGGGCCTCTTGCGCAGCAGCAGCAGCAGCAGCAGCGAGAGCAGCAGCAACAGCAGCAACGCGAACTGCAGCAGCAGCAGCAGCGAGAGCAGCAGCAACAGCAGCAACGCGAACTGCAGCAGCAGCAGCAGCTGCCTGCGCCGCTTGATCACCAGGAAACTTCGGCAGCTGCAGAGCACCTGAGGGGATCGCCTGCTGCAGGAGTCTCCGCTGCTGCTGCTGCTAGGCGATCCGCTGCTGCTGCTGCTGCTGCTGCTGCTGCTGCTGGAAGCTCTCCTGCGGCTGCTGCTGAGAGCCCCGCTGCTGCTGGCGCTGCCGTTGGGGCTCTTCGCAGAAGGGTCTCTCGGCCTTCAAGTGTCGGCGCGCAGCAGCAGCAGCAGCAGCAGCAGCAGCAGCAGCAGCAGCAGAAGCTCCAGGACAGCAGCAGCAATCAAGACAGCAGCAGCAGCACCAGAAGCAGCAATATCAGTTGGTCTGCTTTTTTGGGCTCTGAGCTGCTGCCGGAGTCCGCAGAGAATTGCGTCTTCGTGGTGCCTTCAAACTCAGAAGGTAGATAGACTTGCTGCTGCTGCTGCTGCTGCTGCTGCTGCTGCTGCTGTCGTTGCTGCTGCTGCTGCTGCTGGTGTAGCTGTTGCTGGTATAGCTGCTGCTGGTGTTACTCACGGTGGCTGTGCTGCTGCTGCTGCTGCTGCCGTGGCTGTTGCTGATTGCCTCGGTACTCATTTGCGTTATT